GGGGGGGGTCGGCGCACGGGCGGGCGGCAGCGGGGTTTCGCAAAGTGGGCACTCAGCAGGCTGAAGCGATATCCCGATTTGGTCCACATACATACAGGAGAGGAATCGGAGACCAAGCTATAACGGGGAAATCAACTTGAAGCCCATATGTAAAAATAATCTTCACGGAGCCTTTAGGACCGATGTGCTCTCTAATCTGTGCGCGCCTGGAGACCTGTTAAATCATTTGTCACACGATAAAGGAGATCCTCTCCGTGCCAGCGGGGGTTCCGGGGGGAGAGCTGGAGTCAAATAATGTTCAATTAGGAGATTTGATATGAGATGTAATCAACGCCCCTGGATGTGCTGTCTGTGCGTCCTACAGCGGCCTCTGTGCGCCAAAATCAAAGAACCCTGCGTTCTGACGCGCAAAAGGTGGAGCGCACAGCGGTGTCCACTCAGTGCTGCTGACCTACAGTACAACAGGTTTACTGTACGGCGAGGAAGAGAGGAAACTTTTCTGGGTATTGCTATTACATGAACAGAAACTGAATCATTCCCAAGCAGAGATGATAATCCCATAATGCTGCTGCTGGAGACAGTGTGTCTGCAGACTCTGGGGTTGATTTTATCATGCTTATGGTCTTTTTAAATACTCATATGATACTTCAGCATCTGAAATGGATAGTGTAGCATCAACGCTCTAGTGTCCATTGGTATCATTGGTATAAGGTCTGTGTGTCTGCCTGTAGGTGATGATGTGAGAGCAGAGGAAACCTCATAGAGGAGTTCAGGGGCTGCTGGGATATAACGAGATGGAACATGAGATACGGCAAGCATACCGGAGAATCATCCACACCAGCATGAAACCAAAGCAGACGCGCTGTCACATTCTCTGATCAGGAGGCATTTTTCTGCACATCCACCGACTCTGTGTGAGTCACCAGTGTTTCTGCTGGCGGCCGTGGACAATTGATATTTCTAATCCCCACAAAGAACTTCCACTTCAAGGAACCTATAGTGTGTTAAATGGCTAAGGCATGACTGTACTGTCATAATATTACTGTAAGAATATAATCAAATTAGTGTAGAGGGTTACATCAGAAGCCTTTTGCATGTCAGCAGCTGCTAAACAGATCAACAATTGGACTTTCACTATATCCTGACAGTAGAACCATGAAGAACAGAATTAAATCTGTGAAACAATAAAGGTGTCCTCCTGGCTCCTCCCAGTGCTCCTAATGGAATTGGATTGGTTGTTTGCATTCAGGCCCGGTGGATTCTTGCATGCCGTTAGGGTCGTTATAGTGAAAGTTTCAGCAAATATGACAATAAAAATACTTTTATAAAAGTTCCCCACTGCTGTATGTGGGAAAAAAGGCAATAATAATGGCAAAATTCATCTTTTCCCTTTAAGTAGTAAATATTTTCCTTTCTTTTGGTTTTAATAAAACCAAATATGTATAAATATATTGAAGTGGTAACCCTTCCCTTTGCCACAAACTGGGCAGCACATTTAATGAAGGCAACAAATCCAAAAATGAGCATTAAGCCTTGTTATTACACCAAATAAGGAAATATTTATATTACATATGGCTCTACATGAGCAAATATATAATGTACAGTCTGTTTTCCCAAGACCCCAAGCAGAACATTAGGGTTAAAGGGTCAGTTCCCCCCAAATTACAGATTTAGCGTTGGTTTTATCTGCTTAGGGTCTGAAGACGAATCCAATTTAATTTTTGGTGCAAAAATGACATCCAGTGAAACAGTGTCCCTGTATCCCTGGATACCCTAAGACATAAGCAATTTTTTTTTCTTAATAATTTGGGTGAACATACCCTTTCAGAATTTAATAAGATTCTGAACACCAGAGGGACCTGTAGCGGAATATAATTTTGTCAAGAATGACATAACTGTACCCTGTAGCAAGAACACTGAACAGAGTGAGACCTCTCCTCTACTGTACATCATTAAATGAGCTTCCAGGCAGGGAATTGATTGTAAAAATTGAACTAAGACTCCATTAAACCCCTGTCAAGGACCCCTGGATCCTGCTCTCACGGTTGTGCCAATCTCTGCCGGCATTGCATCAGCTTCTGCCCGACACACACATGCAGGTCGGTCACACACACAGTGGATGCTGTGTATTGTTGTGGTGATGACAGGGTGCTGCATCCAGGACACTCTGATTGAAGAGGAGATGTGTGAGGCAGGCTGTTTGTGCAGGAGCTGGGATATACGTTTTAATGCTGTGTGTTTACGTGTGATTACACAGCTGAGACGGATACTAGTGTGTGTGTGTGTAGGTGTGTGTGTGTGTTAGTGTCATTGACTTCCTTTGCAACACGTCTTCTTATCTGTATCTCACTCTGTTTACCTTCTTTCTGAAATGACTTCATTGCTCATTCCGTAATCCACCATTTATTCTTCTCTCTGTCTTTCTCACACACACACACACACACACAACCATTGTTGTCCATCAGATAAAGTTCCAGGCAAGCGTCTCCCTGCTTCAGGCATGTTTAGCAGTCCTGGGAATCCCGTCTGGCCTCCCAGTGTAAACTCTCACCTCTCTTCCAGGACTCGCGGGGTCGTGACCTCTTGTAAAAGAGACAGAGGAGGGAGGGAGGGGGGATTGCACAGTGGTATATCACACTGTGGGCTTAACTAACACACACCGAGCAAGGCTTAAACTTGTAGTATATTCCAAATAAAAATGGATTTGACATGTCGGTGCCGCACAGAGTCAGCTTTATGACCAGAAAGGAACGCCACATTTGGCTTGACTCAGAGCGTGAAAATAAATTTTTAAGGAAAGACTTCATTTTGACTTCTCTGCTCCCACTGCAGCTCACAAGCTCTGCCGTGGACACCAGAGAAAGAGCAGACCTGGTGTACACTGGCAGCAGCCTGCTGGGAGCACGCCAAATTAGCTTCAGTTTGGAGCGTACTGCTGGTCTTACCCAAAGCAGACAGAAAGCAGGTGTAGTGACAACATTATGCACGCCAGTTCTCATGCTCAATGTCCAGTTGGGTCATTTGTACCTGTGTGTTACAGGAATATGCCAGCTTTTTGTTAAATAGTGCTGTCCATCCACTCACTCCTAGTAGTATCCGGCCAAGATATGTGTCATATCGCCAGATTCTAGCCAACACACAGTACACACAGCCGTAAATGGTAGTAAACTTTGCTTTCGGGCGGTTGGTTGGACAAAACAAAACATCTGAAGACATCAACTTGGCTCAAGGAACTTGTGACAGACAAATCGTCACACATCTGACCAGTGTGCGAACTATACCGCGGCTTTCGGGGGGGCCCTCGAACTTAATATTGGGGGGGGGGCACTTGCGTGTGCCTCCAGAGCGAGTAGGTTTATGTTTTTTTTAAGACATGATGACTGAACACATGGCAATAAATAAATTGCACCGAATTTGAGGGTAAGCGGTCCTCAGCCGGTCTTTTTTAAAGTGACGTTTAAGACATAAGCGCCCACACTTTTTCAATGGTAGGAACAAGGAAATTGTAATGTAATGTAATGTTAGGCATGTATCTTTTATTAAAGTGAAATAGTGATGAATCACCCTCATGCGCAAATCATACATTAAAAATAGCCTAATTTTACACATGATCCATGATTATGACAATACAAAAAAACAAAAAACAAAACAAAAAGGAAATGCATGGGAAAAAACAGCATTTTGCCAATATTTTAGAGACCCCCCTGCCAAAATTTCACAAATCATGTTTTCAGGGGAGCTCATGTCTCATTAAGGGGGGCTGAGACCCCCCTTGCTCCCCCGTAGTTCGCACCCTGCATCTGACATTTCATAGACCGAACGTTAGATTTAAGGTCCAGTGTGCACAATTTAGTCACATCTAATGCTTCTAAGGTAACGAAAACCCCAATGATTCTTATTTTCAGGGGATTATACACTAATGAAAACATTGCTGTGAATATCATATTCAGTTTCTGTAAATACATCCTCCTAAATTTTACACACTGGACCTTTAACTGTAATTAAAGTAAGTTGAACACTGTTTGTGTTGGAATAGAGCAGAAATCTCAATATTGCAAAACCTGGATGAATAAGACCAAAGACATCTGCATGGTTAGATATTACTAGGGGTAAGTAATTTGGGTGAACTGATACTTTAATGTGCTAAAGCACCAGCATAGAGTTATCTAGCAGAGACTGGTGATTTTGGGCCATCACGTATTGGTTACTAATTGGGACGAAATCCCCCCAAAAGTTGGTGGAGTCCTTTTAAGAGTTTCGTTTGAAATTGAAATTAAACATCCAGCATTTGGAAAAACTAATCTGAGAAAATGTCTGCTGGCGTCACAGGAAAGCTCACATTAGAATATCACTCAAGTTATTTAAGACGCTTACTGACAGCAGTCCTGTCTCCGCGCCTGAAATATTGAGTCATGAATTTCAGGCAGCAAAAAGCTTTTTCCAAAATGAACTCATAGGGTTTTAAGAAAGCAAATCCCACTTTACAATAGACTGCCACACATACAGTACACATTGCTGTGGACACAAACAGCCTGGCGGTGAAACATAGGTCATTTGTGCCAAATGGGGGTTGTCACGCCTGTTACAGCCAAAAGGGCCAGCTCGTTTAGTTTCGCCTCTGCCCGCTGACAGCCGTGAGCAACGACCTGTGCCCTTCCACCGCTCATCCCGCCTCTCTGAATTCAGCCCAAAGTTACTTTGTGCCTGTGACTGATCCAGTCTGCCTTGTGAGTCTGAGGCTCTGCTGCTCCTTTAAAGGCATTGTAGCTGCCGAGATCAGCGTGGCTAATAAGGCAGTTTGCTCTGCAGGCTACTTGTTTGGTTTCTTTGTGAAGTGCCTCTGGGATGTTTTAGAGTCTGTGTGTGCTGAGATGGCAGCTCTGTTCACCCACTCTGCTGTGTGTTTTTCAGCCTGTGAGCGGTAACCTGTTTGTGTGCACCCAGGCCTCAAAGTCGCGCACTCACATTTCACATCTCCCACAAAGCCTCCGGAGAGCGGCCAACTGTGCCCAGAGACAGACCTGAGTGACCTTATTTGAAATCCCAACATGATTTTTAAAAGCTTTTTTACTCTTTGTTTGCCTGTGTGTGTGTGTGTGTGTGTACGTGTGGGAGAGATTTTGGATGGACGAGGAACAAAGCTATGCTGGTTCGAAGCAAGGAATGGGAAAATAATGAAATATCCCTGCCTGGAATTTCTACAGGAAACTCGAAATTCCTCACCTCCGGTGGTCTATTTGGTCTGTAATGTCAGCTGTAACTGATACTGTAGTGTAGAAAGAGGCTGCTGGGTCACTGGGGTCGGCGACCTCAAACATGGGACCCCGTAATCCGAGAAACGGACTCCAGTCCCCGGACCTTCCAAATAAAGTCTCCAAAATTCCAACAAAATACGAAATGTTTCTATTATGTTTCACACTTGCAATAATAGGGGATGTGTGTGACCAGTGAAATTACCTGCTCTTGTGTATGTTTGTGGTTAAAGGAAACACATGGTAGTGTGTAACAGGAGAGTATGGCTGCAACCATTCTAGAAAAGGCAGACAATAAAGAACAATGTCTGTCGTGTTCTGAGAGAGGTCAGAAACCAAAAGATATTAAATAAAGTGACTAATCCTCACATCACAGAATGTTTTCTGTCAGTCAACTTATCACTAACCAACTGACTGTTTCAGCTCCACTGGAGACTGTAAGTACCTGGGAAGATAGGGTTGCACATCTTATCAACAGCTTCTTCACTTAATCTTATTATATCCAAAAAAAAATTCTTCTTCTTAGGAAGCCCCGAATGGTCATGGATTTGAAAATGTTTTAAATGTCGTTATCTCAGATCACAAATTAATAATTTTGTTATCTCAGGTTAACAAAGCTTGTTTCTCATGGTAACGGTTGAATTTTTTTGTTATCTCAAGAAAACAGAAGGCTGATTTAATAAGCTGAGATAATAAACACCTAATAAGATTCGTAAAAGTGGACTGTGACACACACACTGCTCTGTGGGGGCAGAGCAAAGGTTTTATGAACTTTTACCATTTGTTGTAAGAATGTCCTTATAGTGATATGATATGATGATACAGTGTTCAACTTAAAGGAGGCAACCAGGGGTTAAATTGGGCCAGGGCTCAACCTGGAAATACAGAAATACACTCCTCAATTTTACCACGAGAAAACAAGCTTTGTTATCCTTAGATAAGGAAATAATTAACTTGTGATCTCGAGATAGTGGCATTTAAAAAAAATTGAATCCATGACCATTTATGGCTTCCATACTCCTTTTTTACTGTTTATGTAGATGACCTAACTATTACAGCAAAATAGACACTGGTGCAATCCAAGGAAGCAATCTCTACATTCTCCATGGGGTTAATTTGACACTAAAGACGATGAACAAACATCAGCAACATTCTGATGTTCGCTTAGCAGCTATCACCAAACACCAAGTGCCTCGTCACGCCAGTATGTGGCGGAGCAGAATTCAGCCGCACAACCTTGCAAAAAACAGGAGTGATGTTCTAAAGAACAAGGAGAAAACTAACATAGTGTTTTGGCACCAATGAGTCCTCTACAGAGGCTCAGAGATAAGAGGTGAACTTTTCTCATTTGATCCAGTTCAGTTAGAAGATTTGTATTCATTGACTTTTTTCATGAGCTAAACGATAGCATCGCTGTTCAAATGCACTCATTCAAAGGCCAGCTGTCAAGACAGTTTGTGGTCGGTCAAAGCTGCAACTTCCCGTCTCTAAATTCACTAAAGTTGAACTCTACGTGAAAGTTCACCACTGTGAGCAAATCCACTGATGCTGCTGTTATTAAAGCTGGTGTGACTCAAGAGTCAGTAAGCTTAGACCACCCTTCCTCTCAAATCATCTGTTTGTTTTCCTGCGTCGACATCAAGCATTTTATGACGCTTTAAGCCTGTTTGCTGTGTATCAAAGATCTGTCCTCCTGTGTTAGTGTTCCACACAGAGCCCGTCTGATGTTATCACTCTGACAGAAGAGATGACCCAAACAGATGAAATAAAAGATAGCTGTGTTTGTGTTTGTGCTCCCCCGTCTCTTCAGCCCCCAGCCATTGTCCTCACCCCCCACGTGCGTGTGTGTATTGTGAGAGTGTATCCCGGACGTCCTGTTTGTGTGATCTTAGTGCTGCTGCTGTTTTCCTGCCCAGCTCTGCTGCTAAATCCTGGATCAAACACCCCAACATCGGGGGTGGGGAGGGAGGGACGGATACCCCTGCATCCCAGATTAGCTGCTGCACATACAGCATAGATTGTCACAGAGTAGCACTTACAGACTTTACTATATTACTTGTGACCTCTGCACAGACTGCTACAGTCCCAAACAGGGTAGAATGTGGTCATAATCTGGCTTTAGACCACGTAGAGTCTTCCCCTTTGTAAGCGAATCTCTCTGAGTAATTCAGAGCAGACCGACTGTGCCGCTCCGCCGTCTGGACTCTGGGCCTGGCAGCAGCCGGAGGCCGACGCTGAGGACTCCTCATTTACTCGACCGAGTTGATGACCATCTGCAAGAGCGTCTGGACTTCATTAGAGGGGCGATGAAAGGGCTGCCACAAAGAAGGACACATGAGCACATACACACACACACACACACACACTTTTGGGACCTTGATTCAGACTCTGGACCGGAAAGAGCTTTTACGAGCATTAAGCCAGAAACAGTGAGACATTACCATAGCTCAGAACAACAAACAGGCTTATTCTGAGGAAACAATAGACACACACTGTCTGCCCTTCCGAGTGAACCAGTGTGTGTGTGTGTGTGTGTGTGTGTGTGTGAGGCCACTGCAGACCAATCATCCCCGATAACTTCATCTTGCGCGTCATCAGCAAGGCCTCCCTGCCTGAAGGGATTTACACACATGAAACACGCACACACTCACCCAGTCCCTCACAGCAGACCCAGACC